TGTCAATAAATTTTCACTTATTGAGTGAAAGAATTCCACTTTTGGATTAGCTTTATTGTCAAATGTTTTTAAATACATTTAAAAATAAATAGCATTTATTTTATTTAAAATGATATTTAATGCCATTTTCAAGTGAAAAAAAGGAATTCCTGCATTTAAATAGAATTATGAAATAAAAATTCTCAGAAGTAGGATATATAAGAATACAGAACATTTGTTGCCTTCCAGATAAGGCACAGCTAAAAAGAAAGTTTCTAATTTAAATTCTTCACTAAACCTGTTCACTGTTTATCCACCATATAAACAGGCTTGGCTTATGGCTTTCTATCTAGCTGTATATCTAGGAAAGATGTCACAATATATTTGGTTCTTATTCTCTAATATCTCAATATATAAGTCCATAAGTCATCATTCCAGTAAAATTATAGAATTATAAAATCTGTACATTTTTTATTTGGTACCCAAGTTTGCTTACTTTCTTTTTATTCGTTATTAGTAAGGTAAGGACTTTGATAACAGATTGAGTCACTCTGAATTATTGGAAAGTGCCCAAGACATGTTCACTAAAATCAAAAAAGTGGGGGGGGGGAATCCAACACTTTTTCAGCTACAAATGGCTTTAGGAGCCGTGAAAAAAATGCCATTAAAAGAACAAACTTCTCTAGTTCTTACGTGGTTCCAATCAGCAATGCCATTTTCCGTGATATTTTAGCACTTGGCAAAGTGAGAAAAACTGAGAGGCAAACAGTTTTCATTGGCCTTTTTAAAAGTTGTTCCTAATTTTCTTAACATTTTTATTTGTGTCAGTCCTAGCCCAAGAATGATACAACACAATCTAGCCAAAGTTCAGTTCATTTGCTTAAATCATATAGTCCACAGGTGTCAAGCTCGCAGAAGCACGTTGCCATCATGTGATGTATTGTGAAGTTTTTCTTCATGGAGCTGGCCTGCATGTGACGCATCCGGCCCACGGGCCGCCAGTTTGACACCCCTGATATAGACAGAACCTTGCCAGATTAAATTGATACAGCTCTTACCCTGATGGATGTGCCCTGGAAGATTCTAGGGAGTGGACATCCTAATTTTTTTCCTCTGACTCCAGCTCTGGACTGTGCTGCCTTTTGTCTTGGGCATTTCTTCATGGGAACCTGCTGCATTACCGTAGTCCATCACATTACCTCTCGTCTCCCATCACAATTTGGGGACTATTTTGGTTGTTCTATTTCTCACTTGAAAATAGATCCTAGCATTTGGGCTACATAAGGATTTATGTTTGGAAAGTAGGTTCAACATTTAAGTATAGTATGAAGAGCAACCTATCACTCTTAAAATAGAATCCTTTGGCATTTGAGTGTGCTTCTCCATGAAAAGCTGGGATTTACAGTCTCGGAACACTGACAATTACACACACAACCCTTCTAGAGAAATGTTATTATGTGTTTTTGCTGACTAGCTTTTGGTTAGCAAAGTATAAGTAATGTACCCTACCCAAATACAGGTACATGCAGAAAAGTGGAGCAGACGGCTCTACTTCTCTAACAGAATCTCTGGAGTGCTCTGGAGACCTTTAAAAGTTAAGTGCATGATGGACAATGGGAGGGCAGGGTGGAGAGGAGGATGTGGGATCTGGTTGGGTGAATGACTATGGGGATGCTGCAGTGGCCATAACTTCAAAACCAGATCATAAATAGCTTTTCTGCAGTAACTTTGAATGTTCGCTAGATGACTGGTCGTAAGTTGAGGACTATCTGTCATGTCCTCAGCTATGCTTGAAGGCCGATATAGGAAGATTCTATTCTGGAGAAAGAATGCACATCACTGGACATTTGTACCAGTCTCATCTCCCCATTATTGCATAAATATCCAGTGTGCACTGGATGATTCTACATGTTCCTGCTGCTTTCAGATACTAACCATGCTAAACATGTGTTTCCAGGTCCAGCAGATAACCTATACTGTAAACACACATAGAAATACTTCATAAGCATCTAGTTTGACATACTATGCTTTGTACCATGACAGTCTGCCACATACTAACACCTATTTTTAATTCCTTTGATTTTTTTATTTATACTGTTTTATATCTTTTAACTTTTCATATTTTTAGATGTAGTTTCTATGTTTATAATTAACTGTACCCCACCTTCCTTATGCTGATATTTGACTGTAATCAAGAGTTGACTGACAGCTTTACTGCAAAACACAACACTGGAATTTCTCCTGCACTACTTCACTTGGAAACTGCATTTGGACCCTTTCTCAGACTAAGAAATAGTTGCATCCCTTTTCAAAAAACTTAATTATTGATTTTGGCACTTTTTGTGCTTAATTTCTTCTATTCAATTTTTAAATTAAAATTTTAATTTAGCCAATAGGGAAGAAATATAATCAATATAAATCAAGTCAGTAAATAAATATAGGATGTTTTCACAAGGAAGTGATCTGACAGGAAGAGAGAACCAATCATCCACAGAATGCATTAAATGGATGTAGTAGTGAGGGATGGGATGGTAACCCCCCGCATCTCACAACAGAAAACCTGACTTCTAAAATCATTATCTTAAAAATAATAGTTAACTATACATGTTTTTGTTGCTCTAGAACCATTGTTAGAATAAGTAGATTAAAACATTCAGTATGGTCATCTAGATTTTTAATAATGTATCAAAGCAGGGATTTGAAATATTGAGTTCAGAAAAGATCTTTAGAATAGCATAGCATAGCATAGCATAGCATAGCATAGCATAGCATAGCATAGCATAGCATAGCATAGCATAGCATAGCATAGCATAGCATAGAATTTTTTACTGGCCGAGTGATTGGACACACAAGGAATTTGTCTTGGTGCATATGCTCTCAGTGTACATAAAAGAAAAGATACTCAATTCAGTGTAGCATCATTGAAGACATTTAAGAATCTTTAAGCCAACGATGTCCACCAACACAAGTTTTCTTATTAATACTTTGCTTTTTGCTTCTCTGCGAAGATTTCTGTATACTAGTAAGCTCTGAGTGCGTGATCAGACTTTCAGTAGCTTTACCTTTACTTGATGTTTTATTTTGATTGACCTCAATTTACAGTTAATGCTGTTCCGGTGTTATTAGCTGCCTTAAAGACTCAAGAACACACATACTGTAATGAACAATTCATGCATCACTCTTGAAGGAAAATGTAATTTCAGCAAATACTCTTACTATTTTTACTGCTTCTTTCAACTGGAGATAAAAATGCAGGCAGTAGGAAAAGTGTCTCATCTATTTGTATTAGCCTAGTGGTATACATTTGTTTTGTTCGAAAACAAAGTCAAATATCAGCCACTACATTTGTTCATGTAGAATTTGTAATTTGGCTCACATCAGTGAATTTATCCCATCATTTCTTAACCTCTGCAATTTTGGTGTGTTATATCATGTATGTTAAAACCACCTGAATCTAATCTAATAAGTAAATGCTCCTGTTGTATCAATTCATGTTTATTAACTCTTAAAGCCAATACCATTAGTCCTATGCCATTGTTATATTTGACCAGTTCATATACGTTACTGTAGTTTATACAGCACTATTTTATTCCAGAGATCTCAGCGGAGATCAGAGGAGAGTTGAGGGACAAAGAAGGGATCCCTAAAGAAGGCCATGCTTTCTCAGATGCACCTGGCTAGAATTATTTAAGACTTTTTCTGAACTGCAACATTAGCAATACCAATGTTAGGAAATGAAAGTTTCTTTAAAAAACAGATTCTAGAGAATTGCCCAATACATTAATTTATGCCTGAATTATAAATTTGTAAAATAAAAAAGAATGCAGAATTTTACATCCAGAAATGCAGCCATCCACTCACATTCCTAAAAATCAGAAAGGCAGCTCTTCATCATCATGTTTTCTTCTGGTTCTAAAGTCTTTCCTTTGTTCCACTTCCATATTGAGCCTGTTGTTTTTAATTACAGATAGCAATTTAAGCAAGTGAAGAGTGTTTTTCTTACCTCTGAGTAAGTGCAGAAATTAGTAGGGTTATGGTGGAAATTTACTTTGAGACACTTATATCCTCAACAATACCACTCTCAATACCCAGGTTGACCAAGACAAAAAAATTCAGAATAAATGTGAAAAAGCCAAACATTTGAGTAGCTACTCTTCTGTTGAATCAGATTCAAATCAATAGCAACAGAAACCATGCACATATCTATGTAGTTTAAGAACATTTTTATTTAAGTAAACTTCCTGTCATCAAAAAAAGCAGGACATGAGCAGAGGCTTTGAAATATTTACTGAGTGTCAGATGTAAATCTAAGTGTAGGTCTGTGAAAGTCTATCAAAGCACATTTTCTAGAAACACTAGTCTATTCAGGTAATGGGGTGGTGGTGTATATACAACATAATAAAAGTCTAATCCTTTTTAAAGAAGTAACCAATATAAAAAACCTTGACTTGCTACCAACAACTATCATCAAGTCCATACATTTGGCTGTTGGCCTGTGCCTCTACATAGAGACAACAGATGCCTATGAATTGGATGCAGTGGAACTAGATTATTCAACCTGAATTTTCTCTTCAGATGAATGGGAGGGGACTGGTCACAGCTGTTTTATAGAAGAAAACCATTTTCTATCATTCTGTGCTCAACTTCGGCAGATGGGTGCCTTCAAAGCTGGTAAAAATGGAAATATCTATTGCCTCTCTAGTTCAGACTTTTCAGCCCAAGCCAAATTGGGGGAGGATCTCATTGAAGCAAAATAATCATGCCATCCAGAAATGTATGTAAAGCTGAAAATAGAAAGGAAACACTAGGAAACACTAGTATCAAAATAATTTTTGTTCCTCTTTACATGAGTAACTGCAAAGAGGAGAATCCCGAGACCATGTTTCCTGATAGAGATGGAAGGGAAAGCAACTGATAGTATTCAAACCTGGAGATTTAATAAAAACCAAAAATTGCTATCCAATAAAGCTCTAGGCATAATGGAGCACCTGCCTTATTGGCAAATAAGTCACTTAGTCCTCTTAATATTCCAAGAAAATTTAAATTTATTGTTGTCACGGTGTACAGTAATTTCATATATTTCTTTGTTCAAGATTGAAGCTCAATATACTGTATAGTCAATAAAGAAAAGTGCAGATTCCATACATGGCTTCAAGAAGTTTCATACATAAGCTTTAACAAGCTAATCTTGTTTTAGCTATAAAATTTATGGACTGTCTCAGCTCATCCTGTAGATCTATCTGGTTGCTAAAAGTCAACATCAACTTGATGGCCTATAAATAAAGTTTCAGCAGTGATATAAATGTAACACAAAGAAATTAAGACATCTATAATTCAAATATTTGAGCTTTTTCAGTTTAGGTCTCTGCTCTTGATGTTCTGAAATCTAATGTTTGCAAATTGTAAGCAATTTGTTTATGCGGCCTCCATCAAATACAAGTATATGGTAGAAAAGGGAAATAAAAGCATTTGCTTCCCTTTACTACAGCTCTGCTATATTTGATTTAGGGGAAAAGGTGATTAATTTGAGTTCTCGTATGGGAATAAGTCAGTATCAATTAAAACAAGTAGTTTACAAGACCTAACCGGGAATTGCAGTTGCTTAAAGGGAAGTAAGATGGGAATAGCTGTTCAAATTCAAAATGTTTTGCACACTAGTCCAGATCTATTACTTGGTTTTGGCTTAGCATGTTACATAAATCCAGCTGACTGCAATTTATTTAATAAATCATGGTTTAGGGTAATGAAGTCCTCATGTATGATAAGATTAGATACAATTTTCTTAATAAAACCAACGTATATACACTTTCTTATTCATTTTCATTCTTTTTCTAACCAAGCTTTTCTTCTATATATTTCATGAATTGTACTTGAACAATTCAAAATAAAAGTGGATAATTGGTTTAGATTCTTAATATCTAAAATATTTAATAACCATTTGGAATTAGTTCAGATTTTTTATTTTCTATCTGAGGACTCATCCTAGTTTCAAAAATTAACATGAAGTATGACAAATGATGAGTTTAAGGATGTAATCCAACATTAATTTAGCTAGATATACTGAAATAAATGAGACTGGCTTCTGAGAATTGCAACATTAAAAATTCCTTCTGCAACTTCTATAGAACTTTCTTAACTTCTAACTTTGTAGGCCTCTATGATTCTCATGGTATTACGAAAGAGTTCCATCACTAGGAAATGTAACAGCCTTTTCAGAAGAATATTTTATATATTATATCATTATCATTTAATACTTTTGAGGGGGAGGGGGAGAAAAAGAAAGGTTAAATATCCATTGTGAGCTATGTCAGACCTGATATCTTTTCTCTTGTGCATTTGGTAGCTCTCTTTCTCTCTTCAGCCACTGTCTTCTATAATTTCCCCCATTCTCATTATGAGGATATCCTTCCCTCTCTATTTTTGTAAGTATTCTGCCTGTAAATATCAATAAAGACTTTCAATAAAAAATATACCCAGTTCTTTTAAAAAGTATATTGAAAGTATAGCAGCAACTGTTGTATTTAACATTAAAAATATCTCCCACACTGCAGAATTAAATACAAACTATATATTGAACCTAATACAAACTATTACGACCTAATGCAAACTATATATTGAAATGAAAAGCCCCCAGACATGGTAAAGCTTTGTTGGAATTTTGAGGTTTTACATGAAAACAAGTTTAACGCCAGGGGTTTTGATTCAACAGTCTACCCGTTTCAGGACTTCAAAGAATTCTAGTATGTACATAGAACTAGACAGCACTCTATTTAAAAAAGGAAAAGCTCTAGGCAGAATCCATCTAATCCACCGACCAGTTCGTTCTCACAGGGAGGGACTACTCAGGGTACCGTCAGTCAAATTATGTCGACTGGCGACTCCCAGGGGGAGGGCCTTCTCTGTGGGGGCTCCAACCCTTTGGAATGAACTGCCCCCGGAGATACGGAATATCCCTGATCTCCATGCTTTCTGCCGTGCCCTCAAGACCCTGATGTTCCAACAGGCGGGGCTAAACATACGAACATGTGAATGATTTTTTAAATGTTATCTAATTCTGGGTTTTATTTAATTGACCAAACTAAGTAATAATTTTAATTAGCAATTTTATGATGTTTGTGTGTCTATATTTTTCTTGACTGTACACTGCCTTGAGTCCTACGGGAGAAAGGCGGTATAAAAATATAATAATAAATTAAATAAATAAATAAATTTCTTTCCTTCAACAAACTGGATGGGTTTTATTGTGTTTTCAGCTATTTCCCATATACTGTGAAACAGAAAATAGCTGAATTTCATTTTCTGGGAAAACCCATATTGCACATGAACATTTGAGCAACACGGTAAGATTCTTTAAGCAGTTAGGAAAATGGTAAAAATAAATGATTCAGCTTCTCACTAAAAAAGTATTTACACAGCAGAGATGATGAAGAGATCAACAGATGATTTTAGCTCAGAGATACAAAAGATGGTGAATTCATGCTCTTTACAGAGCACTTAACAATTCCCACCAAAGTTAATGGAGACACAAGTGCTGAATTCACAGTAAGATTAATTCTACCATAATCCCCCTTTTTAAAAACTCAACTGTTTAATCCTATCAAACAACTGAAAAAATGTTTATTAAAATTAAAGAAAACATCCAACACAAAAGAAGCATGCCTGTGACTTTATTATTATCTCCATTGTAGTGGAATGTATACAATTCACAAATCCTATTTAAAATCATGCATTTTCATTTGCATATAAAGTACTGATACTTTATCCACAATGCTAAAAACAGAATGGACATAATTATACGCTACATTGCTACATAAAGGCAAACATTACATTTTTGGTAAGTACTAAGGCCATGAAAGCCACCAATTCTGTTTGCTCTCCACAATCAAGTAAAACACATTAATCAAAGACCACTATTGTTTAAAAATTAGAAATACTTTCAAAAGATTATATGAAAGCACTCCCTTGAAAATAATACTATAGAACACCACAATCACAGTTACTCTTCACAATTACTTTAGAACTATTGTTATACTATAGTCTATGGTAAACAAAAAAATTCAGACAATTTATTCTTAAATCTTGAGTACAATTATCATTTCAAACATGCAGTATTCTTTCCTCAAATTTGCAATCACAAATATAGCATTCCCAAAGACAAAATCATTTAAATCAGCAAAAAATGAGTTTTAATATTTCAATTCCAGTGATTTAAACATCAACTTTTTAAAGTGTCACAGGACTGAAAAGTATAAAATCATAGGTATCAAATTTGTAGACCTCTAGCCAGTTCCTTTATTTGATAATTAAAAATGTTAAATCAAATTGGTACATTAATTGGTACATAGATATACGATATTCATTTTTATCTCAGCATCACTTTTCAACATGCAGACCAAAACATGTATACTTGCCCTAGAAAAATTGAACACCATCTTTACCTGATCAATGGCTGTTCATTTATGCTGGCCATTATTCAACTAATTTTCAATATATTATGTATTTTTTTCTATTCTAAACCATGAGATTTTGACTGGATTACAACCCTATTTTTTTAGGAGAAGAGCAAACACGAGCAGAGGACAGAGAAGCAAGCTGCAGACTGGAATGATGAAGAAATGTGTAAATCTGATGAGGAACTAAGAAAAGGACGCTGTATAAAAAAATAAAAATAAATAAATCAGGTAGATCGGGGCAATGTGGTAACTTGGATTACTTTCAAAGAATACTCTCTCTCTCTTCTCCAAAGCCTGCAGCATCAGAACCAGTAACGGTCAGAAGCTCAGAAGAATCTTTTGAAAGCCTTGAATAACTTGAACGCTGACTACGCTTATGGGTCACACCTTTAATATTATCATTCTGAACTGCCACCGAGTTAGAACTCGATCCAGGACCCAGAATGATTTGAGGAGGTTCTACTATGATACTGTCAGTCTCCTCAAAATTCTGATTGGGTCTATTGGTTGGTGCACTGTTATTATTCAGGGTGACTGTGCTAGGCGTTCTATTTAAATTGTAGACTTTTTGACATGCTGGCCAATTCTCTTCCGGACTGCTTGCTATTAAGCTGCTGTCTGAAGGACTTTTCTTATCTTCTGAACAAATTGACATACGTGCAATTGTTGGATCTTGAAGGCCACTCAAGCTATGGGGAATTCCCCTTTTTCCACTGCGGCCATCATCTTCCAGCTCAATGAGATTTACTTTTTCAAGCTGTGAGTCATCTCCATCATTATGGAGAGAATGATTTGGAGAGCTTTCATTGGATCTTACTCCAGAATCAGAGGAATCCTTTTTGTCTAGAAGAGCATCTGTCAAATACTCCTTTGCTTTAATCAAGGTTCTGATGGGCTCAGAGCCATGTTCTGGAGATTTGGACTGTTTCTCTACTTTTCCTTCTATTTTCCGGTCTTTACCTTCCTTGAGGAGAGGTGTATTATCAGATTCTTCTGTTCCAGACTCATCTTCATCACTTGGAAGTTTTTGATAACGTAGAGCTACTCCTTTCAACTTCAGGTCTGCAGCTTGGAAAATGCTAGTTCTTTCTGAAGATTTCTTCCCAGAAAGAAGCTTGGATCCAGACTGATCTGATTTTTCATCTTCTTCAGTAATGGGATCTAATGGAGATGCATCATTAGTAGATACTGAACTACTGTAATCTACAACATCATTCCGCTTCATCAGGAAGGATTTCCTTCCATCATCTTGTTTCTGTTCAGCATCCTTTCCCTTATCTTGTTCCATACTGGAATGAAGAGAACCTGTGGATGTACTCTGGCCCATGTAAAATGCTGCTGAACTATGTGGTGAAGATCTACCACTAACTGTACTAGAACTTGCACCTCCTTCTAACTGTGACATTTGAGCAATATATTCTCTATATGCATCTCTATATTCTGCTTGTACCTTATCAGTAAGCTTTGAAATTTCAATACTAGAATCTTGAGAATTGAGACTTGAAAGACTTGGAGTCCGGCGGGCTTGTGACTGTTTAAAGACAAAGAAAACATATTAAAATATTGTCTGATTTATATCCATAATACATCTAAATAGGCACAAATGAATAAAATTGAACCTTAAGTAATAGTTATGAATAAAAACTGCTTGATATTTCAGAAAGGGGCACTACGTCAATGGTACAATATGTAACTAGCATGTGTTGAGATTGGTCCTGTGAGGGTAGGGTTTTGTGAGAATTAAATTCAGCAAATTCGTTTATCATATAAATGGTTTCATGCTGGAAATTTTACATTTCTCAGTTTAAGTTCCTAACTTTAACAATATTTAGAATAAAAGGAAAAACTGTAACAATTTTCTGTTAAAACCAACAGCCTTTTCCAATACAACACGTTTTGTATTAGGAAAAGGTAAATTTGTCCAGAAAAGTCTATATATAACTCTTGTGTAACTGAAATGGACCATATAACTGCATAATTAGAATGGTACTTACAGAACCTGAACTAGAAACAAATGTAGTAACTTTTACTTTTTATAGTTATTTCTGATGTGCTACATATACTCTTTTTAAAACTCTTTTAAGGAGTTTTACTCTTGTATGTGAATAATAGTTATGATTAAAACAGAAGGCATTGACTAAATTATATCTAATCTGAAGTGAAATTACCTGCCAGCTTAGATTGCTATGACGTGGAGGGGCTTCCTCTAGGCCAATATTGTTCAGCTCTTCAAAGCTAAAATTGAGGGCATAAGGAGCTTGACCTGGAAGACCAGTAAGTTCCGTATGGGGTAATTCATTGTTTAGAGTTGGACGCCGAGTGAGATCATTATGAGGAATTGTGTTGGCATGCTCATTCACTGTTCGAGAATCTTCATGGACAGCTTGACTTTCTGCATTTCTCATATCAAGTACCTAACAAAAAAAAGATATTAGAGTTCAAGTTGAACATAACAGCACAACTAAAACATGGTCTTATTTTAGCAAAGGACTATGAAGCACACTCTCTGTGACAACCTCAAGCTTTACATGATTCACTCAGTCTAAAGCAGTATTTCACAACCTTGGAAACCTCAGCTCCAGCAATGGCTACACTGACAGGGGAATAATTTAGGCAATTAAAGTCTACATATCTAGTTGGCAGTTGTGAAACACTGTTTTAAAGCACATTCAGATGCACTTATAAGGAGTTCTTTGGATCTCATCTTGTATTGTATCCATATTTCATGATAAAACAAGTATTATTTATGCAAGGCCTAACCTTGAATATTTAAATATACCCAAATAGTTTAAATGGATATTTTAATTAATCACATAGATGCCAATAACAATTCTTTAATAAATATCAAGCACCACTTTCTTATCCCCTTCCTCTTATAGAAACCTAATATTATATTCCTGTTGATGGCACCGAAGCAAACAACTGTGCAAGGATGCAAGGACTCCAGCCTGATGGAAAGCAATGTTTCCAGGCACAGTTCCTGCCACTTTAAATATGAAACTACAAATTGTGTAGAAATTGTTAACAAAAATCAGGTAAGGTAAAGTAAACCATTCGTAGAATGAAATCTTATGCAAATATAACATTGAATTTCACTGAAACTAAGTATGTAATATGCTTCAAAGTAAATATATGCAGAAAGGCAAATGTAAGTTCCACCACCCAGCAGTCCTAATTATTAATACTAATATTTTATGTAATAAGTCTTACTGCACTCCTGAAGAGATGCCAGTCCCCAAAATTCATGTTCATCTCACGTTTTAGTTCATCAATGTTACACTGTGCTAAAACACGACCGTTTATATTAGCCTAAACAAATTATAGAAACATAACATAGGTATTACTTATAAACAGTAGTAGAAAAGTAAACTTTAATCATTTCAAAAGTAATTCATGTACAAGTGCATCTATAATGCATACAAGGATAGTGCATGCTATATTTCAAAGGAAAATATTATCATTTAGGATACATTATATAATGTATTTTTTATAATAACTTTAGGAAGTTTCTGTATTATATGTTTATATTATGAGTAATGCCCAGTCTTCATGTGAGCTCTCCAAAACTAAGTTATAAATTGACAGCATAGATACTATAGGTTATCCCACACCGTGTCAGATTAAATAAAGGCCAAATTGAATTAAAGTCTTTTCTAGGAGGAACTTTACAGAAGTTTCAGACACAGTATTTCAAAATTGCAAATTTCAACTGATTTGGGAAATGGGAGAAGGACTACAGGAGGAAGTACTTATTCCTCTTGTAG